GGAAACTCGGCAAACGGGAAGCTGCAATGTGTTCAGCATTAGTTATTAGCAAATAAAACGTTAAGCGTGTAGGATTATAAATAAACGTAATTTGTAACGACATTCGAAACAATATATGTAGTCTATGGTTTATATAATGTCTGTATAGGGTTTCCAACTTAAAATATAAACAGAAACAATGTATAAAACAAATATTTACCTAAATATATAATAAAATTAGAGGTGTTATTTAATGAAACAAGATTTTAGTTTCCAATTTATTATGAGTAATATATAGTACCTGCTGGGTCTGGCGTCAAAAATAGAATTTAAAACAATAATGAATTTTTGTGCGTTCACTTATTTTTTTGTAGTGCACGATTATAATATATGACAGGATATAAGCTAAAGCACGAAACGTGAGCGTGTTCGCATAACCTCTCAGAGGAGAAGTGACGTCATGCGATAACTAGTACCCGTTTTGATGTTAATTTTCTCAGCGATTTGTGAAAATATTTAAAAGAATACGACAAGAAACGGTTCGGTAGCCGTTGTTAAACAATTTTACCTTAAAATAATAAGCCCTGACATACCTCACCTCGATATATCCTTAACATGAAGAAAGGCACTCAATGGTCAATCGTAACGAGAAAATGAGTATGGTAATAATAAGGCACTTTAGACTTATAATAACAAATACTTGTCCTTAAAATAGTTCACAATACGCGCAAACACTTACTAAGAAATTATAAAATTGACGGCGTAACTAATAAATAAAATTGGCAAATATGTTATCAAATTCAATTCTAGCATAACCCAAGCGAAACAAAAGAAAGCAAATCAAATGTGACGATTGGTCAAGTTAAAATTATATGCATTATAAAAATTTATTAAATAAAACATGTATTTTGAACAGTGTTTATAATTATTTTTTTTTGAAAAGTCACAATTAGGCCATTTTATAAAGCATGTTTTTAATTTTTTTAATATAAGAGTACTTCCTCCAACTTCGATTTTGTTCCCTTTGGAGTAGAGACTCTTGGGCCGTGGGGTTCAAGTGCACAGGCGCTTGTTAAAGATTTAAGTTGGCGCCTAGTAGATAGTACTGGTGACCCCAGAGCTGGCACTTTACTGGCTCAACGAATAAGTATCGCAATACAGCGAGGAAATTTTTTTTTTTTTTTAGAGACAAGTCACACCAATTGACCGAGTCCCATGCTAAGCTGGTGAAGCTTGTGTTATGGGTACTAGGCAACGGATATACATACATATTATAGATAGATAGACATATAAATACATATTTAAACACCCAAGACCTAAGCACAACACCAAATGCTCATCACATCGATATTCGTCTCAGCCGGGGATCGAACCCGGGACCCATGGATTCGCAGTCAGGGGTACTAACCACTAGACCAATGAGTCGTCAGCGCCAGCGTAGCTGCCACAGGGATCAAACTTTTTAAATTTGTTTAATTTTAATTATTTTTAATTATTTCTATTATTACTTTGTAGATTAAGAAAATTGTATATAAATAAATGTATTATTAAATTTTAAAAAAATTAATAAACCTTCGGCGTGAGGTTTTACCTACTAACAGCTAGTTCATAATAACTTATGTTAAAAGCATGCGGTAGGCCGCCTGTAATGCCTCCCCTGGGATACGACGGAGTCCTTAACATAAACGTACTCCTGCAATTTTAAGTTTTTGGCATCCGACTCCGGCATTATTCAAAGCGTTGTTTTGTATTTCAAGCCGCGACGACTGTCCATTATTTATATGGCTTCTATTATACCCCTTTTAATAATGTCGCCATTTTGTCTGCGTTGTTTTTAATCTTACAGTTGAATATTTGAGTGCAAATTTAACAATTGTTATAACGACAACCATTACAATTGTAAGTAAAAAAATTCTATACTTTTCTGTCATAGTGACGTATTATCTGTCATAGTGACATTTAACATTGTGTCGAAATGGTACTGGTGTATAACGAAATAATAAAAGTCACTTACATTATAACGACACCATATCTAGTACAATAAATAATAATAATGATCTAATATTGTACTTAAAGTACGTGATCAAAGATATTAAAAATTGATATTCCATATTAGGCCTTGTATCTGGAACTATGTGGTGGTGGGATTATCTCAAAGCTATCTGGTAGGTTCACCACGATAATTAAGAGCTTGAAGGAGGCTTCACCACTTCGAGAGGAAGCGAGAAATGAATACGACAGAGCAATATTCAAATCTGATTTATTGTTATAAAATAATATCTTAAATACTACTTACTCCCACTCACACATACGTAATTAAAATTAATAAGTTATTCTTGTGAGCTGGTGGTGGTTGATGTACCTATCGAGCTCCATCGGCTGGTAAAATTTGTTCACAATACAAATAATACACATTAAAAATGGCTCTTGTGAGCTGTCGGCGTATCGCAACTTCAGCTGCTAAAATTTGGAATAACCACCTGAGATGTGTCAGCAGTTCAAATGAAATCTAAACAACGCCCTTTTTACGTTTCAGCCTGGGGATCGAAACTGGGACCTCTTGATCTGCAGGCGAACGTGCCAACAACTAAACAGGCAGTTTCTAGATGGGCACGTGTAAAATTGGGTACCCTGTTATATTCAATTCCCTTTTAAATTACTACGCTTAATTGGAACTGACTACATTCCGTCTTTTTTCTGAAAGACTTAAATCGAAACCAGTCCGGTTTATATTATACGTTTTTCCCGTTTTTCAAAAGGTTTTCCTGTAGGCTTAATCAACTTTTTTTTGTAATTGTTATGAAAAATTCATAAAGGATTTGGGTAATTATATTGGGTACTGAGTTTTCGTGTATTACTAATTATTTATAGATGATGGACTGCTCTTTTATCTATTAGCATGTTAAAATATTTGACTTTGGAACGGTTGGGCGTTGTTTGGATACCGGATGCAAGGAATATTGCTATCTTTGTACGAATGCTCGTAAAAATACTAAAAACAGTAATTACATCCTTTTTAAGTCTGGGCCTAAGATTTCTGTATCTGTTTCATGATCATTTGTTAATCTAATAGGCAATGGTGATCAGCCTCCTGTGCCTGGCACATGCGATCGACTTTTTGGTTCTAAGGCAAGCCGGTTTCCTCACGATGTTTTCCTTCACCGATAGCGAAAGTAAAATGCGCACATAGAAAGAAAGTCCATTGGTGCACAGCCAGGGATCGAACCTACGACCTCAAGGATGAGAGTCTCAGGCTGAAGCCTCTAGGCTGACACTGATCTACGAATGATCGTACAGTGAAGAGTAATATCGCGAAGAAAGGATAATGTCCGAAACAGATGGCTTATCTTCTTAAAGAAACAAATATCAACAATACAGACGATTGTGTCTGCCCTAGACCTCAATAGGGCGTTAACAATGCGCTGTTGTCTAATAAAATCTTGTACCAACATAAAGCGTCATGACGCCATAGACTAGAGTTACTTCTACATGTCAAAAACTTTTTTGTATAATAATAAATAATAATGTCTATATTTTGAATAATACCTCCATAGTGAGGTTTTACTGAAACTTTTTGACAGAACATTCTAAATTTAAAAAATTACTATATTCAAAACTTTCAAACGCTTGTCCTTTGAATTAGAATTTGGCTAAATATTTTAGTTTTTAGATTGTGATATTTACTAATCTTATGTACACGAATATGTATTTAAAATTATTGTATGTATATATACTGCTCAAAACAATTAGCGGAACAAGATTTTTCTCCTTTCTATTGCTTAAACTAAAATTAGATTTAAATTAACTTGTACGCTATTTTTTACCTTGTTAATTTGTTAATTACTACAATTAATAAAAAAAATCAATTTGTATTTTTTTTATTAAAAAAAAATTAAAATGTGCATTGTAGACGAAAAACAAAGTGACGTCTTTGAATTTTCATTACTTTCTAATCACAGAAAACACATTTTAAGTAGTTTTTTTCAATCTTTGGGTATTAATAGAAATTGAAGTGAGCCTTTTGAGTATTGTTATTCATTGAAGCGAGTGAGTTTAGGTCATAATGCCAGATCTGACTGAATTGCATGTCTCCCGAGCTATCGCTTTGCTTGAAGAGGGTCGAACTATGCGTTATGTAGGAAATGATCTAGGAGTAGCCCCTTCTGTTATCTACAGACTTTGGAAGCGATACCGTGAGACGGGAGAATACTCGTCGTTGTTCCCGGGCGCTTGTGTGCTCAAACTTACATTGAAAATGTGCTCGAAGATCATGTTGGGCCCGCAGCATATGGTATGGGCCCAGATTTTCTTTTAATGCAAGATAATGCCAGGCCGCATACTGCAGCCATCACGTCAGATTACTTACGACAGCAGGAAATCCGTGTAATGGAGTGGCCTTCCATGAGCCCTGACCTAAATCCAATTGAACACATTTGGGACTTGCTTGACAGGCGCATCCGGAAGCGTCCGATTGCACCTCAAACACTGCAGCAGCTCACTGCAGCGTTGATTGAAGAATGGGAGCGAATTCCACAAGAAGATATTCGGAGGATCATACGAAGCATGCCGCGTCGTTGTCAAGCCGTGATTAGGGCTCATGGAGGCCACACACGTTACTGAAAGTCACTAAAGACGAATATTCACACGATATAAGAATATTTCTTTGATGGACCTTTTTTATCACCAATTAGTTTTTCGTCTACAATGCACATTTTAATTTTTTTTAATAAAAAAAATTTTTTTATTAATTGTAGTAATTAACAAATTAACAAGGTAAAAAATAGCGTACAAGTTAATTTAAATCTAATTTTAGTTTAAGCAATAGAAAGGAGAAAAATTTTGTTCCGCTAATTGTTTTGAGCAGTATATTAATCGGATAAAGTAAAGGGGTCTCCTAAATTGGGAGATATAAGTGAAATAAGTAAGTCATAAATTCTTTCCGACAGGCCTTCGTGGGATGGGTAATGGCAGTGCGTAGGTGAGGCCGCAAGGCGGGCGCCGCGCTCGGCCTGCGCCCGCCCATGGCATCCGCGTTATGTATCAGGTAAGTTTAACAAAAGTGTTTTGATTAATTTTTAACTACAGTAGCTTTGACATGAAACTACGACAGTTGGTTAAAATATATCAATAGCATCTCCAAGCGACACACGTGTGACGTGACGTGATGCGTCATTTCGTTTGACCAATCACAATAGAACACAATGTGTCGTCTTGCGTCGCATCGTACCATCTCACCCACGAGGTTTTTAAACCATTTATGTTAGATATATATCTATTTAGATAAATAGATATATATAAATTATATATACATTTAATAAATATTATTATTTAATATTTATTAAATGTATTATTATGGATATACACGGATAGCCTATCCGTGAAAAGACCGGTGTAAGCATAGCGCGCATGGACAAGAAACGATGGACCCGCAGGCTCCTTGAATGGAGACCTGACAAGAGACCGCGCCCCCACTCCCCAACTAGGCGGACTGACGACATTGTCACGGAGGTTGGCTTCCAGTGGATGAAGAGAGGACAGTGCAGGTCGTACTGGGGGAAAATGGGGGAGGCCTACGTCCAAAAATGGACCAAAAGAAGAGATTTTCTATTTAATTTTTATATACTAATTTAATATTTGTAAATTTGTGTCTTTAACTGTTTCTTGTATCTTTTAAGCGTGTTGTTTTTGATCTTATAAATATGTAAGTAAATATTGAAGACAATTCTAATTTCGTATTTTACTGATATTCCCCTGATAAAACGATTTCTAGTGTCGATCTTATGCATTTTTAAACGTTTTCCAAACGAATTAAATTGCTTTCGGTAATAAATATTTAATAGGATCTGTTCTACAGCGTGTTAGTACAAGTTTTTTGCAAATAAGCGAGAACTATCGTTCCTTTATATATTCCGCTTTAAAGGTCATAATATATTTAATTCCATTTATGAATCTTATAGTTTTCGTCATTTCAATAAAATATTACTAATATTAAAAGTCCCATAGAAAATATTTCAAGTAAGTTTCTGTGCGTCAACTTGTAACAAGATTTTTTTGCTGAGAATCGAAACTAGGTCCTCTGTGCTGTATGTAGTACATGTAACCCACTGAGACACGAAGTTTTTAAATTACATAATCTCTTTGAATTGTCTACATATGTTTGGTTTGCTTTGATTTGATCCATTATTTATGTCTCAGTGTACTTAGATACACAATTGTATATATTATTAAGTTGCATTTCTTGCGGTCAAATTAAAAAAATTCTCACAGTGGTTGCCTGTACGAACATAGAATATCAAAATAAAAAAAAACTTATGTCATTGTTCAAACAACACACTCTACTCTGTGGCGTATCCGTATTTTGGCGCCATTAATATGCCACGTTGATGTTTAAAATACATCCTCAATTTCCAAATATATTTGACTAAAAATGGCTACAACCATAATTTTACAGCTATTTTAATAACCGCTTATATTTAGCAGGTGGGTGGTGCAATTCACATCAGTGTTGGCGTGGGTCCTCTTTGTTCCGGTCAACAACCAACTAACGCCAACACTAGTTCCAACTTGTCCCACGCAATGCATCTGCCTATCACAATCGCAGGTAAATAGTTTTATATTTAGGAACGAGTTTTTAGTTTATTTAACCTTTAAATAAATTTTCAGATTCGGATCGGTAGCACGAACGATTCGTAAACCGTTTAGTAATCGAATAGTAATAATTGTGGTATGGGAAGTCTTCATATAGTATACGTATATGTAGCATTTATGTAGTAAGCCTTACAATAAATTAGAGAAAACGTGCATTGGCTGTCATTAACTGACTAAAGTATTGACTAGCTTAGCTAAGTATAGACTTAGCGCTGAGGCCAGCTCTCGTACGTCAAAAATGTATTGGATTTAGACATATGGGAGTTCACGTTAAATCTTGCCCTGAATCTGGCTCGAAGGACCAAAATTTAATTAGTTTCACTTTATATTTACTACTCGCGTATAATAAAATAATATATTTATGCTAATTAATTTAATGCTAAAAATACTATGCTATGCTTATAATGCTAATGAGATTACCTGCGTCTGTCTATACTCTCGGGGCGTAACTCACTACGATTTAGGTAATCGCCGCGTTAATAAAACTAAGAAAGTCTGAGTGAGCACAATGTAGCTTTGTTGGTCGTGATCATGTGTGCATTATATTGATACTTTAACGTATATTTCAACGACTAGTAAGTATCTACTGGTGTTAATAGAAACTGAATAGTATAGAATTACAATCAAATTATAAATCCAAATAATAAACACCTTTCTGTATTATGCAACGAGTTTATAAGTCAGTTTGGATTAAGATTGTTAAAAAGCATTGTCGAGCTATGTAATTACTGTAGTAAAATCGTGTCGCGTAAAACGAATAATTTTGTAACTATAAAAATGGAAATAGCTTTAAAGTGCTGCCAATGAAGTATATTATTTAATTGTTAAGGTATTCGTGTTTGAATAGGCAAATTTATACGTGTACTTAACGAAACTAAAATAAAGTTGTGTTAAGTCGAGCTTTTCCTTTTTATCACTTGCATTTTGACATAAGTCTATATCAAAATTTACTTTACAATAGTATAGAAATAATATTTGTACGAGCCAAGGCTGTACATTTTTCTCACTCGGACTTTCTTAGTATTATAAGCGTGGCCATTTCCTAAATCGTCGGAGTTACGCCCCGAGAGTATAGCCAAACGTAGGCTGTCTTTAACTGTTACATTGCATTCATTCGTTACATAGCAATTAATATTTTATAATTTCGCTTATACACTATTGTAGTGGTTACTCCGATGACACAGGAACCGTACGATATTTCTGACTTGACGCTGATTTTGTGTAAAAACAATTTTCCAATATACAAAATAGTCCTTATACGTTGGCATGTTAAAATGTAATGAGTGAAACAGATGACCCTATTAATGAATAAGCATTATCCATATCACATGAATATATTCCACATCACGTCAGGATTTTTAGGCTAAGCCTATAGTGTCAAACAATAAAATTCCTTCAAAGTAACAAGAAAAGGCAAATAATATGTACTAACTACTACTCTACTAGCTGACCCGGCAAACGTTGTTTTGCCATATAAGTATATTATTTCTAGGAAACATTTTATTCGTTCAATAAAAATAACCATCTACTATAAATAGGGGTTGATCGTAGAGGGGTGAAAATTAAGGGTTGTATGTATTTTTGTATGCTGTAGCATAAAAAATAAAAACAAAACATTTTGTCTAGAAATTAAATTTTTTTTTTATTGTGGACACCCCTTATCACTAAAGGGTTTAAAATATAAATAGTAGCCGATTCCCAGACTTACTGAATATGTATAAAACATTTCATAAGAATCGGCCGAGACGCTTCGGAGGAGTATGGGAACGAACATTGTGCCACGAGAATTTTATATATTAGATAATTCGTAAATTGTCATATTGAATACAGCGTTGTTAGATGAAACGTCTCTGTTTATCAGTTATTTTGAAACCTGAAAGTTAGTTACGAAAATAGCTAGTTAAATTTAGTTGCAGTAGGTAAATACCGTTTCATAAAACTTGAACTATGGATAAACGTTTTCTATGCAAACATCAATAAGAGCACAAAAGAGAATGTATTTACAACTGAAATTTTTCTTCTAAATATTATCTTAAATTTGTATAATGGATCTGAGCACCTGGTGTCCGGCAATTGAAATAAAAGCGTCCCTACGAGAACGAGCCCATTTTACAGACCCTTACTAAATGACGTTAATTTTCTGACACATTTTCTTTATGAGTGCTCTGCCAAAAATAATAGAGTATCCACCCCATTACCGTATAATTTTAATAGAAACACCTACTGATGCGCAAAAGGCGCTGAAACCCAAATAATTTCCGGGCAGGTTAGTGAGTAAATAGGAACAATGAAGACTAAAATGCTTATATAACTGTGCGTATTAAACATAATGAACTTCATCCTTATCACTCTCGACTAGAAATCATATGGTATTGTGGTCAAATCTAGAAAAAATCCGAAAAATTTGCAAAACGAGTTTCTTAATCCAAGCCTGACTTTGAATTCGTAGTTTTTGCGGTTATTCGTAACATGCCAAAATTTTGTTTTTATAATCTATATGTATATATATATCCTACACAGTGTTAGTGGTTTCAGCGTACGAATCTCATCCCTGAGGTCGTAGGTTCGATCCCCGGCTGTGCACCAATGGACTTTATTTCTATAAGCGCATTTAACATTGGCTCGAACGGTGAAGGAAAACATCGTGAGGAAACCGCACATCCTAGACCCAAAAAGTCGACGGCGGGTGTCAGGCACAGGAGGCTGATCACCTACTTGCCTATTAGATTGAAAAATGATCATGAAACAGATTCAGAAATCTGAGGCCCAGACCTAAAGTGGTTGTAGCGCCACTGATTTTATATATAGGTACTACTCGTGTTAACCGCTTGTAAACTTCGGAACGGATTTATAAGAAATTTTTCGTATTTAGTCGCAAACCATATAGATATTTATGGGGCTCGCTCGCTACTGCAGTGCGCCTACAATGTTTGGTTGTGCAGGTGTGTATTAATTATATTGATGCGCAAGCGAACGGTATCTCTAGCAGTGTTGGCAACTGGGAGACGGTGTTGATCGTACCAGGGGCGTAAATTTATCGTACCTGACGAAAAATTATTGCACATTTTCAAATGCCAGAGAAAATTGTTAATTATTAATAAAATTGATATTAAAACAAACTGATTTTTGATTGTTATAATCTTCACACGGGTGCACCGCGTAGTATATTGTTTAAAAATTGTTTGAAAGCTGCTGCTCTGTGATTTTATTCCGAAAAAAAAAAAACAAGAATAAATTTGTATTTTCAAAAATTATCGTACATTTGCGTACGATAATGAATCGCGATCGTACATCGTACGTTGGTATCAAATTATCGTTCGGTTGCCAATACAGATCTCTAGTAGTAGTAGTAGTAGGCGCGTGCTCTAACGGCATGCTGGCGGCAATAGCAGTAAGGGTGGATCGTTACATGGGTCATTGAAATGGACTGCATGTCCCCTTTTTTGATTGAATTTAAAAATTACTTTAAAGATAACCTACTAATATAATATTTAGGACAGTATTGTAACTATGACAATGACAATAATAACGATTATGATTGTCCGCTTGAATAAATAAATAAATTTTATTATTACTATATATTCCTTAGTACCCCACGCTTATCAGGTGGCTTGAAAAATATATATCAATACCATGGACCTCAATTTTCAATAGTGATGTTAGTACTGTAAATGTTTTTTTTGGCAAAAGTTTTGCCGGGTCTGCTAATATTAGTATAGTATGAACAATTGTTGGAACCTGAATAAATCGATTTCGATTTTGGTGTCGGTTATTTGTAAAGATTAAGTTTGAAACAATTCAATCAAAATATGGGCATGAGCCTGTGTGCGTGGAGGGGATTAATTTTATTGACAAAACAAACAGTGGCGCAAAATCATTATCATCCATAACCGTTCACGAATGGATTTGTTATTCCCTGGATAGATTATAAAGTACTCCATTGAAATGTTACAATTTGAGGGCCAAACGATATTTAAAAAATATATAAAGAAGAATCTTCAGAAATAGATCCTCTAGAAAAGTGTTCTGATATAATTTTTTTAATAAAATCAAAAGAAAAAAAGTTATTGAGCAAAAAAAAGGAAATATTTTCACTTTTTTACGTATAACTTTTAGAATTTATGACTTATGATAAAAAGTCACACAGATATAATTGTAGGCAAAGCAATTTGCTACAAAATATGTCCTCATAATCATAAATATTTTGTGGATGGCGGATAGTTTAGGATATATATCCAAAAACGTGTTTTCACCCCTTTTTCCAAGATGGCGCCCGAGGGACAAGGGCGCCAACCCCGCAAACTTGGGTTTAAGCTTGTATTGACCCCCTCTACATGTCCCAAAAATAATTGCGTCCTCTAAGAAATGTTCAGCCCATGTAACATTTCAATGGACTAAAGCTGTTTCTCGCGAATTTGTTCCCGCAGAAATATATGGGTAAAAAGATGGTGTGGCAGAAGTATATAAAAGCAAGTCTGCTATAGTATTTTTGCTGTACATAAAACCGTTTTATTAATTATAAAATCGATAAAGAATCTAAAAACTTGACGACAGCTAACTTGAACTTCTTTTTGTTGTCTTCCCTAGAGTTGGACCTGAGTTGGAAAATGAATATGTGTTCAGCAGTGCTTAAACAGGACCCGGATGCGTGCCGTCCAATAGGCCGCATATCACTTAACATCAGGTCCAGTTATAAAATAAACTTTACTGGCAAAATAATGTTTTAAACGAAACGATAACAAACTCATAAACTTTGCTTTGAACCATTTATTATATTAGATATTCACATGTAAATTGTTGGGGAGGTATTGTGCGAGTATATTTTCATACATTTTATATAAAGTTCCAATGTATTCAAATGAATTCCCTTGTTTGCAGGTTGTGTGCAACAGTGCAAGTTTACGCGGCGTTCCGTCAGCACTGAGTCCGAATGTAATGCAGTTATCGCTGTCGCGGGCAGATCTTCGTGTCCTACGCTCTGATGCGTTCTCTCATCTCCGACAACTGCGGCGGCTGTCTCTCGACGCCTGTAACCTCACGCGCATACGTCCTTTTGCCTTCCGAGGCCTGCCACGCCTGGATGAACTCTACATACAACACACGCCGCTCGCTACAGTCGATGCGTTTGCATTCGCCGCGCTCCAGAATATATCGTCAATTGTTTTATCGCATAATCGAATAGCGCAAATTGAGGGCTATGCGTTTGCTGGAACCAATTTTATAAAGCTCATTTCACTTAAGAATAACCCTATAAAACGAATACTAGCACATGCATTTTCCGGTCTCAACGATGTAACTCAAATAGAATTACCGTCTGGAGTTAAGTCAATTGAGCCGAAGGCTTTCTTCGGCCTAGAGGGCGTGGGTGTTTTAGAACTGGCTTACATGGATTTACCAGCACTGCTGCCCGATACGTTTTTTGGATTAACTCGTGTCGGTCGGCTGGCTTTGCGTGAATCTGATCTTGGGGTTATGCGCGTCGGGGCTTTCGAAGGTTTAAGACACGTAGAGGTTTTGGAGATATGTAACAACAAAATTGACGGTGTGGAAGAGCTAGCCTTGATACATAATAATAGCGTCCAAACTTTTAAATTGACAGGCAATCATATGCTCGAAGCGCCAGAATCTGTGGTTCTCGAAGTAGAAAATTTAATAATACGCGGGAATCACCTGCCATGTGAGTGCGGGCGTGACCCTCTGGCGAATGCGTTGGCTCTGACGCCTGACTTTGCGGAGGAGAATTTGTGTATATCTCCGTTGAAGGTGCGCGGGCGCAGTTTGTCTAGCGCTGCGGGAGCTGTATGCCGTGGTGAGGGAACGGGGAGCGCGCGCGCCCGGGCTGCAGCAGGAGCGAGTCCACTGGGTGACTCATTCGAACACTCTCTTGCCGTAATTATTGCCGTGATAGCTTTCCTTGCCAACAGTTAGCCGCCCATGGTGTTCAATATTCTATGTCTTTGTAAATATTGTATAATATGTAAGAATGTAATGCGAAATTTTACATTGGGTCCGTTCATTTAGTATACGTTGGACCACAAATGAAATTTGCCTTTCGATACTATCTTGTTTTACTCCAATTTATAAGAGTTGTTTAATTTAAATATGCTTTTAAGATGTTATATGAGAATGTTACGCATCTTCTACAATCTAAATCAATGTAATAAAGGTATAAATTAAGTTATGTTTCATTTGACCTTTGACCCTAAAAACATAACACACCTCTACCAAAAGCTGAATATGAACAGAAATATTATATGTTAAATATATTAATTTAGATTACCAATAATTAAATAAAGTTATAGACGAAGAGTGTGCATGGGCAAGCGTGCGACTCTCATCCCTGAGGTCGTAGGTTCGAACCCAGCTGTGCACCAATGGACTTTCTTTCTATGTGCGCATTTAACATTCGCTCGAACGGTGAAGGAAAACATCGTGAGGGAACCGGCTTGCCTTAGACCCAAAAAGTCGATAACGTGTGTCAGGCACAGGAGGTTGATCACCTACTTGATTATATTGACAAATGATCACGAAACAGATCTGAGGCTCAGACCTAAATGGTTGTAGCGTCACTGATTTTTTTTATTTATTTTACTAGACGAAGATTGATATTGAAACTAATTTAACTCAATACAATAAAATCAATCAAAACATTTCAGCTTTAAACAGAATCTTACAGTACCTACAGAAATCACAGACCTCCCAACTATTGAGTGGCAAGAGCTATTAGTGGTTTGTTATCCAATACAATATTCTAGACCGATTGAAAATTTATAGAAGCATAAAGATAGTATCTATGTTTCTAGACAATTAGCGGAGACATCAGATAGGGACTGAGTAATGCGCTGTCGGAAGGAACGAACTTAGTCTTACATCGTTTATTCTCATATCGCACACTCGAACGATTACTAAAGAAGCTATCTTTGATTAAAATAAATTGCAGTTATTAGTATGCAAATGTGCAGTTAATTATGCTACAGTGAATGAAACTAGACCCAAGAAGTTCACGTTAATTTTTTGACTTTTGACTACTATATTTATAAGAAAAAGTTATATATGCGACTCATCTTTGAGGTCGTAGGTTCGATCCCCGGCTGTGCAATGGACTTTCTTTTCGTTAAGGAAAACATCGTGAAGAAAACCGGCTTGCCTTAGACGCAAAAAGACGATGGCGTGTGTCATGCACAGGAGGCTAATATGACTATTAGATTAATAAATGATAATGAAACTAATAAAGAAATCTGAAGCCCAGACTTAAAAATGTTGTAGCACCACTGTTTTTTATAGTTATGTTAGTAGTGGGAATTTAAGCTAGGTAACAAATAAACTGTTTTATACTCAAGCAATTTTTGTTCCGGATTTTGTACAATTTAATGCAATTGGGCTACATTTAGTACGAGATAGCTTTATACAAGTACTCTTGTATCTACAAGTATTCATTTTGTTAATGGTTATTAATTTTAATATTTTTAATAAAAATATAGCTTCATTAACCGTTCTTGCTATAAGCGTTTTAAAGTTTTTCAGAATTTATAACCTCACTGGTTTTAAATGCGCATTATATTTTTGATTAAGTAACTATCATAACATTTAGTTTGGACTTGAAGGATATTTAATTTAATATAAGAAGATAATTTTGCAATAAGACGAGACAGGTACGATTTGTGGTAATTGAGAATAGGAATAGGAAATTAGATCGTATTTAATTTTTAGGATTTTTTATTGGGAACTTTGTCAAAGGCCTACATGCCTATGATGAATGCAGCTCAAATGTGTTGCTGTAATATGTATTTTAAGAAACAATATTTAGAGTTCACTTTCAAACAATCACTTTTACCCTATTTCTTAACTATCCAAAATGTTTTAACAATAAAATCTTCGAATTAAAATTTAAATGACAGGCCAAAACTAGTGTCTTTACCTCAGACTAACAAACAAATTAAATGTAACATCAGTTAACACATAATAGATAAATAATAATCTAAAGAATCTAATCTAAGAAATATTTCTTGACACATATATAATTAATTGTATATATTTCTAATGCGTTTTTATAATTGCGTTGTATATTACTTCTTTTTGAAATAAATCTTAACTGCGTCAAATTTCATGTTCAATTCTCATCAAAAGGTCGCTCAGATTTTCAAACACATACGATAAAAAAATGGTTTTAATAGACTTTGTTTCGGTGAAAATATTTTTATGGAACATGGTAACATTAATATGTTCACACTTTATAGAAACTATTTACGCGCGCGTCAATAAAGATTTATGACTATTTTGTTGTGAATTTAAAACATATAAATTAATTTTGTGTTACGTACACTAAGATGTTAGGACATATTCTCTCACTAGGCATTAAGTATTATATGGTTTAAGCCTCGATTCGCCTGTTGTTTTTGTATCGAGAATCGAACCCATATCCATTATGTGTACCTTTTATGCCGACGGAAATATACTTCAACATATAACTTGGGACTAACACTAAACCCCATCACATATACATTGGGGAAACCAGGATTGAGTATTCTACCAGGAAAGCCAAAAAAGCCTGAAATTAAAAAAAAAAATTATATTAAAACCGTAAAAAATTATTTGGCTTTTACTTAGCACAGTAAATTCTTCGCCCAAAAGGAATATACGAACTCAGTTTTAATAGAAGCAAATATATTGATGATTTAAATGCGAATTTCAATCAAGTAATTAATAGCTATTTACTACAATTTATTCATCATACAAAGAATTCATCAAGATATTCCACATTAACACAATCCGCACGTCACGCGCCACTCATTAGGTATCGATTAGTACATCACTTACCCTGCAGTTTCCTTTGGTCCAAATCGTACTCATCCTGCCAATACCAGAAGCTCCATAATTACGCTTCTCTCTCCTAATATAAAGGTATACGATGCTTTTTTAATTGAAATTTTACGAATTAGAAATGTATTGATATAGCGTCTAAAAATTAGTAGTGTCATGTTAATTGTCATATAATTTAGAATAACCACTTGTTACATATAAAAAACTTTAGAGGTGTCAAGGGACACCCGGATGGAACGAAATTCCTTTCGATTAATTTATATGTTAATTGGTATCATAACAGTATGATAGATTTTCTCGACACCAATCTTACGACGAAAAAAAAAACCAACATCACGAGGTGTTCCCAGACGGTCACCCATCCAAGTACTGACCTCGCCCGACGTTGCTTAACTTCGGTGATCGGACGAGAACCGGTGTATTCAACGTGATATGGACGTTGGCAATAGCTAAATCGAAAATGTAAAATATAACAACTATAGCAAAAAGTGTCGTTACAACTTTTGGTCTTAATTTATTCCGTCTAGCCCCCTTTCGCAACGCTCGATAACTTCGTTCCAACAAGACTAATTTAGTTAAGTGATTCCAAAAATAATTTTCATTTCTTATCCCTACAAAAAAAAGCCAACATCACGAGGTGTTCTCAGGCGGTCACCCATCCAAGTACTGACCTCGCCCGACGTTGCTTAACTTCGGTGATCGGACGAGAACCGGTGTATTCAACGTGATATGGACGTTGGCAATAGCTAAATCGAAAATGTAAAATATAACAACTATAGCAAAAAGTGTCGTTACAACTTTTGGTCTTAATTTATTCCGTCTAGCCCCCTTTCGCAACGCTCGATAACTTCGTTCCAACAAGACTAATTTAGTTAAGTGATTCCAAAAATAATTTTCATTTCTTATCCCTACAAAAAAAGCCAACATCACGAGGTGTTCTCAGGCGGTCACCCATCCAAGTACTGACCTCGCCCGACGTTGTTAACTTGGTGATGGACGAGAACCGGTGTATTCAAGGAATGGACGTTGGCAATAGCTAAATCGAAAATGTAAAATATAACAACTATAGCAAAAAGTGTCGTTACAACTTTTGGTCTTAATTTATTCCGTCTAGCCCCCTTTCGCAACGCTCGATAACTTCGTTCCAACAAGACTAATTTAGTTAAGTGATTCCAAAAATAATTTTCATTTCTTATCCCTACAAAAAAAAGCCAACATCACGAGGTGTTCTCAGGCGGTCACCCATCCAAGTACTGACCTCGCCCGACGTTGCTTAACTTCGGTGATCGGACGAGAACCGGTGTATTACAATAGCAAATAGCAAAAAAGTGTCGTGACAACTTTTCGTAAGAATTTTTTCCGTCTAGCCCCCTTTCACAACGCGCGATAAGGAACTTCGTTCCAAAAATGTCAATTAAATAAGGCACCAAGATTTTGTTAAGTAAACTCGCGAGAAGACTGCCGTAGCCACTTCTCCAATAATATTTTTAATTTATATACCTACTACTAACTTATGCCCGTGACTTGTGAATCAATTTGTGCATTTGAAATAAGTTACAAGTCTACTATTTTGGCTTACACATAAGATACTGTGGCGGGCTTTTTTGAAAGACCATTTAACATAAAAAATTCCATCATACATTACATATTATGTGTAACTCGGATGGTAGATTTTTTCCTACTTACTTGATATTTTAGACAATTCACACAGTTGTATTATTGTAAAGTTTCAATAAAATCCATTCAGTAGTTTTTACGTGAAAGAGTAACAAACATCCATCCATACTACAAACTTTCGCGCTTATAATATTAGTAGGATCCTATTCCTATCTATACGTAGGTCCGCTGTTTCGCGAGTCTGACCCCTATACCTTTGTTGCAGATTTAAAGCTTCTTAATATTCCAATTTTTTGAGAGCTTTTTTATCTCACTATTACTTAGTAGAGCGTACGAGCGTACGAGCGTAAAGGCAATAGGCAATCATTATCACGAAGCCGTCGCAAGCATTCAGTAATAGACACTTGCTACATCACGTTGAACCCTTAAAAGCTTCGGTTACTGGGACAGCTTTTGAAAAAAAAAACCTCTTTTGAAAGAAGTTAGCAGAA